CCCCCCCCCCCCCCCCCCCCCCTTTAGCTCGGTTCCCTGGCCTGGTATATGTTGTGATTTGCATGCAGAAAGCAAACCCCTCCCCGCCGCGCGCGCAAAGTACCGATTTGCCATCGGTGATCGGTCGTGTGGGAACAACGCTCCGTCCTCTCGAGGACTGACGTGTGGTCAACGGTCAAAGACATGCAAAAACGTGCCCCCGCCGCCGCCCTGGTCAAAACGCTCGCAGAAACCGCGAGCTGCCCGGAGGGAGCGAGTCAGACAAGTTCCAGGCCGACCCGCTGGCGTTCCTGCTGTCCACGTACGGCCCCCTCGTGTCCGGGGAGGAGCAAGATGATGATCATGAGGCGACCATTGCTGTTGTGACACCCCCCGACCTCGCGGTCATGTACGACACTCACCTGGCTAGGCCGGGCGTGGCGGAGTACCTGAGCGGTCGCTTGGGGCTGGTGCCGACGGCGGTGTTGTTCCACGCACACGTCAACGGAGACGCTGACAGTGATGATACGCACAGCAACGTCCACGTTCTGGAGCGGGGGGTTGGGCCCCGCGTCAGGGCGGCAGAGGGAACAACGTTGTTTGAAGCTGGCAGGGATGAGATGTAGGCGTGTAGCGTGGTGATATGGGCTTTTGGAAGGCGAGCATGCTCGGCCGGGTGGTAAAAGTATGTGTGCTGCTGAATTTGCACTTGCCATTCATGTGTCCTGGGTCGGTTGTCGTAATAGTGGAATCGATCGAGAGGAGCCGTTTCACACCCACCCGCGGTTGGTGTGTGTTGCCATTGCTCAGCCGGTTAGCGGGGTGAATGCTTCGACAAGCCCGCCTTTAGTCATTTAGAAAACGTTTTGCAAGGAAGGTCTTATGCGTGGCATTTCGGAACAACGAGTGAGGGCGCTTGCTTTTCATTCGGCAGGCTTTCATGTTGCTGAGTTCAAGCATTGATCGAAACTGGGCAACCGCGAGTTGGAGAAACGGATGTCAGGCCGTTGGTGATGGATTTAGAGTTTCAACGCTGTGTCGCTCTGTAGATTGCTCCTTTGTCGTGGCCGCATGTACTCGGGGACGTGCGGCCAGTTCGACAAGAACCGCACGATGATTGGATGGAAGCCAAGGACACGCGTAGCGTCGCCGACCTAGGAACAGCTATAGCGCATGCGCACTGCATTCACGTTGCTATGTATGAACCGACGGCAGACGACAGCACGACACCGACAACTCACATTCGACAAAGGGAAAGACGCTTTTCGCGGCCTTTGTTCGAATTGCCGTTACAGAAGATATAACACTTCGTGTTTGGCGAATGTGTACGTACGTGCATGCTACAGAATACCAGTGTCCAAGAACGACACCGTCGTGAGACGATGGTGGCTGGCCCAGGCCATAACCGATGAGCGTTGTATTCGCTACAGAATCAGGGCAATCATCCCGTTGATCCGCGTCGGAAGAGGGGCACGGCGGGTGCAACGTGCGTCGTCTGGTCAGTCCACTGCACGCGTCACTTTCACAAAATGCAAAACATGTTCGAGGAGGAGTAATTTGCTCCCTGCTCCCCTCGATACAGAACTGACAAGAGTTTTTGTATTTTAACGTCGCTCCTGTGATAAAAGGTGGGACATTCGAAACCAAATGTAGTATGGCGCTGGAGTCGGGGGTTAGTTCGATCCACAGCCCGTCCCAACGAGCGCTTATGGACTACTGTAGCGCTCGCGTGAATAATGTGACATTGTAATCCAGACTATAGCAGTAGCACACCAGTTTGATGAGGACCGGAGCTCTTCAGGTAGAGATCATGAAAGGACGCGTATACAGGGTGCTTAGATATGGAGCGACAGAAGAAACGGTAAGAATGAGGAACGGAACAAACACGGGTACTTGAGATCGTGCGATGGGGGACGGGACATGGATGTACCGGTTCAAGTGTAACTGCCGAATTCTCCCCGCAATGGCGGGGGATTGCAAGTTTGCATTCTCTCCATGCGGTGTGTGTCTTTTTGGTGTTCATCGACCGCGTGACCGGCTGAACAATGTTACAATACTAAATCGAGCTGCGTATGCGTGCTCGTTGTAGGTGGACCCTCCGCGCAAGCTCCCATCACCAGTGGTGTGCGGAGAAGTGTTGTTCGGTGACGCAAAAGAAGAAAAAAACGCATCATCCGGATGCTCGTAATAACAAACGGCAGTATTGACTACCGCTGTACTGCTGCAGTCGACACACCCGCTGGGTGAAGTGCTATGGTTATGGAAGAGGAAACACCTATGGAGGAGGGCCGAGTCGAGACAGGGGCAAAGGTACGTATAGTACTTCCGCGTAGTAAAGTTTGATGTCTCATGTCGTGCACGCCTTCAAAACCCGCGTGCGACGACGGTATGTAGTATTCTCCGAGTCTACAGTGACACAGCTGCAGCGTATTCTTCTTCAACTTGCACCGGCTGTACAATAGTCTACCTCCGTAACGCTGACCAAGGCTGTTATATTGTAGATGCTGTTGTTTCCGCTGCCGACAGCGCTACCGATACCACATCTCATTTCTGCAGGTGTTACTTACAGTATCTCCTCGGGTTGCCAAAAGCTACGAAGATACCACGTACGTACAGCAGTAGTACCGTTGTCCTGCTGCTTTGTGCAGAAATGCAGTCAGCGCCCGAACTTAAGAACGTTAGTTTAGGGCGAGGCTGGGGTTCTTAGCTCCTAGGGCTTGGCTACAAATGACCGCTATTATAGGTTTTAGTGAAGGGGTTCTTAACCGTACTCACAAGTGTGGTGCTCAAGTTCATGGATACCCAGTTTTTCGAGGCCAAATATTTCGTGACTGCTAAGTTCTAACCTGTGTGGGCGCTAAATTACTACTTCGTACTTGTATACGGCGCAGTCAGCATACTGCATGGGGTTTTGGACCACATGTGTGAAAATTATATCGAGCTCATCAAGACAACCTCTCCTTCACGTCGTGTCGAAACGGAAGGTCGTTCGGTCGGAGGGTGCAGATTCCACCGCTCCTGCTCTCGAGCGCTCAGAATCCGCGACTATCACCGAAGAAGCTACCGACAACCTCGTCCGCCGGCTGGAGGCCAGCGACGACGAAGGCGATAGCGATGAAGAGGGATGCGACACCCATGGTGGCGCGTGGAGGTCGCTCCAGTACGCCAGCTACATGACAGGTATGCATCACTTCGTCAAGGAGAAACATCGAGCTCAGGGATACCTCGCCGCTGAGCTGGCCAAAGCCGACCACGAGATGGGCGAAGGACAGCAAGACCCCACGAAGCGGCCCACCCTGGAGGTTCGAATTGCGACGAGCGTTCAATAGAGCAACCAGAGCAGTCCGCCATTGTGCGTGGTCCTTCGAAGCAGCCGATATATACATGTTAAAACGGGTCGTCGCAAGGTGCTCTAATACTTCCTTCTCTGCTCGTGGAGTTCTCGAGATGTGGTGAGCTGATGAGCTCGGGTGTGCAAGAACCCCGACAACGTACGAACTGCGAGTGACCGATCAATCCGAACTGATGATAAGAATGACCTTGCAACACTTTTGATCGATCTCGCTGGGGCTTCAAAATCTTAACCCTTACCCGCACAATTAAGGCTGTTGAAGGGGAAAATGGCCGGACGGTCTTGCGTAGCTTCCCCCCTACCCGGAAGAAACCAAGGACAAACATCACTAGAAAGCAAAGTATAGACTCCGGTATAAAGTTCAGCGCTCGATGAAGGCGGGGATCCTACCACACATTGCACCTTCCACCGCACAAACCGCCGCATCACACACCACAACCGTCAACTTTACAGGGCGATATCGAGCACTACTCGGTCCAAAAGCAAATCACTCGTCGCCTCAACAAGAAGAGCCCCGGCTTCCTCGCCGCCGTCGGCATGATCTGGAACGCCACGCGAGCGGAGATGATCAGCAGATTGGGCGAGCCATCGATTGCCGCTGCGCCCGCATCGGGCCCTTCTCCTCCTGCCGCTGCTACGCAAGGGGCTGGTGGGGATGGGGATGGGGTTGTTGACCAGGATGCTGGCGGGATTGACGAGGCTGCGTTCGTGTGCCTGATGGTGAAGGTCCACTACCTCATCATTTGTCCTCCGGTGAGGGTCGGTCTGGATCCGTTTACAGGGCCATGCATGGGACGGGTTCTTTTCGTCGGTGCGTGTGTGCCTGTCGTTGTTTCTCCAAAAAGTCGCGACGATATTCTCACCATCTCTGGACATCTGCGCCTGTTCATACAATATTTCAACAGTAACGAAAACATTCTCTCTATATGACAATCTACGCTATATTACCTAGCGTTACACTCACAGCTAAGCGCCTAGGGCCTCACTTTTAAGTTTTTTCCATTGGTGTTTGTGTACCCGTCGGTGTTCTCCGGTACTTTGTTTGAGTGAAATCTCTTTCTGGTAGATTCGTGGACGCCATGCTGACGACCGCATTTAGGGTTGGCGTGGTTTTCCATTGTTGGAGGACGCCTAATGGTACCATGCGAAATGCTTCGTGGGGGTACTAGCCATCGCAACTCTTTCGTTGATCACAGACCAGCTGCCCGCAGCGGGCAACAAGGCCATCCCGAAAGTCCACACCACCGGATGGTCCTTGCAGCGGTGGAAACGACAACAACAACATCATCCCCAACCTTCGTACTCTCTCTCTGACCGCTGCCTGGTGCCCGCCTCGAGAGCTCCTTCGCACTTTACTAACGAATGAATGCAACTGAATCCAACCACAAACAGGTTAACCCCGATGCCGCGTACAAGAACGCCCGCAACGACTGGGCCAAGGACAACGCCAGCGGCAGCCCGACCATGAGCTACGATCTTTTCGTCGCGTCGATCTTCGAGCTGGCAAGTTGAGAGCGAGCGGTATTCAGCTGTGCCGTAGGAAGAATAACGGCGTTGTTAGGAAACCAAGTGTAGATAGGAGGATGCCACTTGGTTTCTCCCCGGACAAGCTCGTGCCTCGGGGGTTTCGAGGCCTGGCTTGCTCTCGGACGGAACGCGGCTGTTTCTGTTGACACATAACCTTCTCAAGGACGTGTGTGTGGACTGGATGACGACTAGATGATCTATTGAAGTCTTTGGAGAGGTCGTGCTCGCCTATGTGGACCGATTGCCCCCACCAAGAAGAAGGAGGCGTCGTAAATATGGAGAAACTCTAGTCTCGGGAGGAACATTCCTTCGCCGTATCGATCGCTTGTTTGTTTCCGCGGCCTGCTTTCTGGTGGGGCAGCAGTCCAGCCCTGAAAAACCCGTCCAAACATCGCCGGCGCGGTCTCTCGGATGCCTACGGAAACACGTGGTGCGGTAATTGCGCTTCTGACCTGTTCCCAGAACCGTGTCCTCGACAGCTAGAGATGCCTACGACTTGAACACGATGCACTCAACCGTTATGTATTCAACCACAACTGCTGCTACAGGTCGACATCTGGACGGAAACGCTGGAGGCGTCAGAGTACGACGCGCTCGCCATGATGATCGCGAAGGGGGTCACGACGGAAGTGGACACTCCCACGCAGACAAGGCCCGACGTCGAGGATGGGCGGGGCTCGGTGGCCGGGTTGATGGCCTCGGTCACGGACGAGAGGAAGAATAGCCTAGCGAGGTGAGGCAGTGCTGTAGCCGCTCAAGACGTTTTTGGATTTCATAGCCTTATCAAGAACATCTGGCACTGTACCAAGCATTGTGGCAGTGTACCAAGCATCATGACACTGCTGTACCGAGCAATACCACTACCAAGCAGCTTGGCACTACCAAGCAGAATGGCACTACCAAGCACCAACGTCGAGAGTGGAAGATGCCTACTGTAACGGCACACGGTGCTATCGAAACGATCGCGTTTGGGCATCTTCCCCTAAAAGTCCTGGTACACACGGCACGCCAGGTGGGTAGGAGTGATTACGGTTCTGTGCGCTTGCAATAACCCTCTTGTGGTACCCCCGCAACGTCTACTGTGTTCGTATCTGCTCGCTTCAATGTCCAACGCGAGCCGGCCGACCATAACTACAACGGTTCCTAAATGAAAACTTCCTTTTGAAACCATTTGCCAGTCGTTGTGTTGTGAACCACTGGTTGTGCGGAGTGTTAATTTGGTCTGCATTGAGCCAACGATTTTGCCGGCGCCAATATTGAGTGGGAACCCCCTCAATCGATGAACGCAACAGCAGCCGCAAGAGAATCGATGCGTCTCGACACTTCCGACGTTTCCAATATTCGCCAATTTTGACGTTCCCGTCTTCAAGTAGGCCTTCTCGCTTCCTCTGACCCATCTGCCTCAACAAGACCAGCAGGGCAGAAGAATCCACAGCGCAGAGTAGTAGTGGCGTTCACCGGCCTCCAAGGCAAACGGAGGACCGTCACAGGCACAGAGAACTGGCCAATCGCAACAAACCTCACTTATCACCATTCTTGGCTGCTGGGGAAACGTTATTCCAGATAAGACGGCCACGCCACGCGCCGAAACGGTTTGGGCTCTTCCCAAATCGCCGTTCATGTGATGATCCGAGCGGCTAGGTTAACGAGGCGTGTGTACCCCCGCATACCAAACCATCTCCCTGCTTCTTGTGTCGTTTCATCCTCGCTACCACGAAAACAAACCACACCACGAAGGCGATACGTGCTCAAGGCCGACGAGGAGATCGTCTACGACCCGTACATCACGAGAGAACCGGTCTACATGGAAGATATCGAGGAACAGGTACTGCATGGTGCCTTTCATACCGCGTGCGCAAGCGCTCCACTGGGCGACAAGGGGTACCATGAGATGGGTGTACGGAACGTTTGAGGGATAATACAGAGAATATGAACCAAAGAACAGACAGGTTCGGAACACAATTCTCAGCCGAGCTGCCGAGGAGGACAGCACGGTTACGGAGCCTGTTTCACTACACTATTCTTTCGAGCGGCAGCCCGATCTACCCCCCCCCTTCCCCCCCGCTCCCTCGTTCTCTGTGCCCCTGTGTCCCCTTGTAGGCATCTATCACTTGCCATATCGAACCGAAAAATGAAACGGGAAAGCCCTCTTTCCTGTCAGTACAAATAGCTTTTGTCTTCGTGCTTTTATTTTTCCCCCAGGCCGACGGGTATGAGTCTGGAGATCAAGACGAACAGGACGGGGGCACCGCTGGAGGGGGCGAAAACGTGTCGAGGGGGATATATGAAAAGGGCGGCGGCGGCGGCGGCGGCACTGAAGCGGGCGGGGACGAGCTGCGGGGCGGCGCAGGGGCAGGGGCAGGGCGAAAAAAACCGCGGAAACCGGGGCAAATGAGGTAGCCGCGAGAAACGCGCTCATTCTCCCTTTTACTTGTTTTCTCGGCGTGCTATTTCATGCCTCAGACACGGCGCCCTAGGCTGCAGTCGGATGTCGACGACATCATAAACAACACCTTGCATTCACTTATGTACATGCCGGTTTCTCGACCAATCACCACGCGTGACGCCAGGTTCGGTGGGGCCAGAAAGACTGGATCCTCGGGGTCTCCGGACCGGGATTACGCGGACGACGGCGGAGCGGGCGCGGCCGTTTCTAGCCTCGCGCAGCAGGCCGGCCGGTCTCCTAAGGTAGCCTTGCTGAGCGCGGAGCGCGTCAACGCGGCCATCGCCAAGGTACAAAGTCTGTGACGTTTCGTGAGAGAGAGAGAGAGAGAGAGAGAGAGAGAGGGAGGGGTGTCCGAGAAATATCGAAGTGCATATATACGCCGGGTAGGTTTTCGCGTCTTGTTCGGCTGTGCTCGGAACGGAGCACGGAGGAAAGACTAATGTTTTGATTGTTGCTTTCGAAGCGAGGTCTTGCTACGAGGCCACGCAGAACAGTTTCAAGCAGAAAACAAGCAGGACGCTGTGCAAAGGACTCAAGTGTCACTTGCCAACAATGCCGTGGGAACGGCTAGATAGATGCCTCTTCTGGCAGGGATGGGATGACGACGACTTTCAAATAAAGCAAGTTTGGTGAAGCAGATATAGCCGATGTAGGCTACTTTTGCGTTTTGAAACCGTCGAATTTGTCGCAGAGATTTTTTTCCCTCTATTTCGGGGTATCGGATTGTGAGAGCCGAGTGGAGTGGCCACTTTTCTCGGAGAGTTCACGTAAAGGAGAAGGCCAGCTGGCCAGCATGGAATAGCAAAACTACACAACAAAGTAGTAGGTGAACTCAGAAAAAGAGATAATTTTGATTGGCTAGGTCGGTAGGCCAGAAGGTCCCGCTTTTTCCCGCCCCCTAACCCTTTTCTTTGGAAGGCGAGGGAACGGAAGGAGTGGCGTGGGTAGAGTAATGGTAAAGTGCCATTTGGCGACTTGGTCGTCTGAGATATTCCGTACAGTAGGAAGAGTTCCCCACACGCGGGAAAAAGAAACCCCTCGGCTGTTTTCTTAGGGAAGAGGGAGCGACAGTGGTACCGATGGACCTACACGCGGTTGGACTGGCGCAGAGGGCGTCTGCAGGATAGTGTGTTCTGTCGGTGTGGTTTCTCTCTTCCTCGCGTGTTGGAAGAGAAACAGAGAAACATGAATGCAAAACGACAATTCGAAAGACAGAAATAGCGAGGCGGGATTTGCTACACGGAAATACACTGGAAAGCTCGTGGTTCGGGCGATTGTTGTTGTCGAAGCCACCAAGCCTCACTCGTGCTCGCGTCTGAAACGTTTGCTCCCGGAGCTGAAACTCAGGAACCAATCGATGTGATGCTCGCCTTTCCTCCATGAAATCTGTGTCTCAAGGGGTAGACTATTCCCTTCGGATGCATGCGCGTCGTATCTACCGCAGAAGTTTGAGTAATCTTACACCATCTTGACAGAGTATCAAAGATCGCTGTTGCTCCGATTCTAAGAGGATGCTCCAACCGACTGACTTGTGCGAGGCAAGCTAGCTGTTAAAGATTTGCTTCCGAAACCACCCTTCCTTTTCGGCGTTGATTGGCACATTGTTTGTCGGGGAGCATTCACGAGCTGTAAGAGTCGGCTCCCCAATTGAGACCGTTGTCAGCTCATCCACACGTTCTGGTCAAGGCCGCCCCCCTTCCCGATGCTCGTAGCTCGCTGAGCGCCTGCATCTCAGGACCATTAATATTGCGCGCCCGTTTCGCCGCGTTCGCAACGCGCTTTGTCGCTGTTTTCGAAACTAACTCGTTGTTGTTGCAGATTTACTACTCCAAGATGCAGGTCGACCGGAAGCTTCTCATACGAGATGGCAGCCTCTCTTGGGTGGACAAGAGCAGGCGAAAAAAAGACCAGGTGTGAGTTAACAGAGACAAGCAGGTGTGAGATTTGGACAACAAGTCAAGCATCCACACGCTACCGCCGTAGGTTGCACAAGATAAAACACCCCCTGGAGCGACCCTAAAAAATTCCATTTCTCCACGACCGACAGGATGCATACAAGCGAAAAATTTCTAAAAAACTCTTGAAACGGTTCCTCCGTTGCCACCATTTTCGGAAATTTTGCCAGTTATTCTGAGTTTTTTTTGCACACTGTTCCAAGGGGGTAGGTTGTAAAACCTACCGAAGTCTCACGTATGCTAGACCCACCATGACTGATCTGGCAAGGGAACAACGTTGATATGGCTGGATAGATGAAACCTTTTCTCAGCTTTTTGTCGTGTATCAGTGATCCACTGCGACACAGACCCGCTCCGCGTGCCGACCTATCCCACCCTCCCTCCAATTCCTCGATCTCTCTCTCTCTCACTATCTTCTCCCTCCCTCCCTCCCTTCCTCCCTGAATCTTTGTCTATCTTTCTGTCTGTCTGCCTGCCTGTCTGTCTGTCTGTCTGTCTGTCTGTCTGTGTCTCTTACTCTCTCCCTCTCCCTCTCGCTGGGCCCCTCCCCCCTCCCCCTTTTTTCTTATCCGCGTTGTCCCTTTCCCACCTTGCTCCACGTCGGTCTCTTCCTTAACTGGTGTATCTATCGATAAATCTATCAGAGGATGGACCGTTTCGTCCTGCAGTTTCACGTTCGACAGTTCGGAACTAAGAAGCTGGCTCGTCGAAACCTCCACCAGCTCTGCAAGAGCATCGCCAAGCTCGCACCCACCAACCCACGAATAGCGGCGAGTAGAAAGACGCACAGTTGCCTCTACACGATGTAGGTATATGAGCGGGTGCGAGGGGGGGGGGG